CCGCCGTACCACGTTGCACCAACGAGGAACGCTGCGAACAAACCAGCAAATCGCAGCAGTCTGTGTTGTTTGCAAAAACCAGTCGTGATGTGGTTATGTGATGTTATGTGAAGTTGAGCCTTTAACCCGCCTTATTCGATAGCGACAAGCTAGGCCCCCGCCAGGGGCCACTGCACTGGGCCATGGCCATGCAACAGGTTTTAAAGTCCGTTCTGATTTCCGGAAGTGTCGTGCCGAACCTGGTACTCTGTGCAAAGCCATTCATTGGTGACGTCTGCTGTCAACATCTTTCTGCCAGAGGCACGCAATACGGTTTTGAAGCACTCTGTTGTTCTGTGCAGAATGGATGTGCACGATAGAGGCCTGACCTGCTGAGAATAGCGGACGCAGGGTCGACATCACCCAGGTTCGTCATATTCTCTTGCCGCCTTCCCTTGTCCGACGTCGGTCCGACCGTCGGCAAAAGGGTCTGCGGTTTGCATAGTCCGATTTCCCACAGGGCACAGGCGGCACAGGGCCGCCTCGAGATCTGGCAAGTTGAGTGGTCTCACGGGAACTTTGACGACAGCAAGCATCCTGCATGGGCCGGAATCTCCGGGTGGCTCTCCTTTCTCAGCTGACCTCAGTGTCGGCTCCGCTCAAGAAGGGCCCGCACGTGGCTGTTTAATCTTGAATACTTGTTTAATTGCACACCTACGACATTGCATCCAAGTGGCTGAGAGAGAAAAGCTGTTAAAGTGTGTTTGCAGTTGCCGCCTGCCAGCATCAGAAACGGCACTCCCGCTTTGGCATGAAGCCCTGCTCGTCCTTCGGGAGTAGCATGGGGGGCGGGGGCGGGGGAGGGGGGGGGCCGAGCAAGAATGCAGTGATACGGCTTCATGCTGCAGGGTTGTCGGCCCGTGCTTCGGAGCAACCTCTGCGCTCTTTCTAACGAAGCCCAGCTCGATCTGAAGCTTCGCAAACCTGCAGAGTTTTGGCTTCCTGCTTTGTAAGCTGTCACATCTTTACCACTCCGGCGATGGGGCTGCACTGGCGCCTGGGCGTGCATCGCAGAAGACTGCCACAGCCTATAGGGCTCTGGCATTGGGCATGGCGATCGTGAGTGCTGCAGCGTAAGCTCACAGTCTAAATTCGATTGCGCACAGGCAGACCCAAAGCAAGCACCAACGAGTTTCTTTGATGATGTTGAATATCGGAAGGCTCATTCCCAGACCCCGGTTGTAATGCAAGAAGCCGCATGTCCAACTCCTATACTTCTCCTGGACAAGATGCTTAAAGCCGGCATGTGTCCTAGAATCCAGGCAAGCTGTCGTTGACCTCGGCTTTTGCCCCTCAAGTATCCAACTCCTATAATAACTCGAACTCGTAAACTCCCCGCGCCCTTTTGCAAGGCGACTCTTCCTTGTTGGCTGGGCTTTCTACGTGGCCCAGGCGCCGTGGCTTACGGCCACAGCGTTTGCACAAGAGACAGCAAGAAGGTAAAGAGCAACACGGAACAGCATTCGAAGCTGGGGGGGAGGGGGGGGGGGGGCAGCAGCAGCATTACCCACCACCACCACCACCGCTGCCGCCGCCACCGCCCGCAGCTGCGACGACGACGACGGCGGCGGCGGCGGTGGCGGCGACGACGACGTTGACGACGACGTTGACGACGACGTTGACGACGACGTTGACGACGACGTTGACGACGACGTTGACGACGACGTTGACGACGATGTTGACGACGACGTTGACGACGACGTTGACGACGACGTTGACGACGACGTTGACGACGACGTTGACGACGACGTTGACGACGACGTTGACGACGACGTTGACGACGACGTTGACGACGACGTTGACGACGACGTTGACGACGACGTTGACGACGACGTTGACGACGACGTTGACGACGACGACGACGACGACGACGACGAAGACGACGACGACGACGACGACGACGACGACGACGACGACGACGACGATCACGACCAGGATCACCACGACAACGCCAGCGCCAGCGACAACGACAACGACAAGCATCAACCACAACACCGAACAACCGCGGCCACAGCCACAAGCAACAGAGCAACAGAAACCCGTTACAAGCCCCCGTGCAAAGCCCTTCCATACCGACCTATCCTCAATATGAAGAATATACATACATTTATACATATGCCTACGTACATATGTGCATACATACCGTTCTATCACTATCCAAGCCCCTTGAACCCGGCCAAACCCACGCTTGCATAGGCAAAGCTGGCCGTCGTCCGGGTGTTCTCGACAGCCGACGAAGTGAATGCCTTGCTGCTGTCCACCACGACGCCATGCTCTGATTCATCTTTTGCACCCTTTCATTGTCGACTCTGGCCCAGTTGAAGCACGAACTGTTTCCCGAAGTCACTGGTAATGACACACGCCTCCAGAGACATGACAGGGGTTCTTTTTTGAATGGAGACCGAACAGGGACACCTTTCTCCGAACTTTCTAAACTTGAGAATTTTGCACCCGCCCGCAACCTGCAAGCCTGCATGCCAAGCCAAGACCCGCCAAAGAAGGACGTGGGAGAGGACCAAGCCGTGCGACCCTGCCAAGATCTCGCAGCCCATCGACTTGGTCCTCGTGTACAGCAAGGACTTTGCGTCAGCACGGGGGGAGGGATCATATGAGGCGCAGGGGTGCGCCGGCTGCGATTTGGCGTTGGCGGGGCCTGGTGCGTGTTGCCAGATCTGCCAGAAGGAAGTCCAAGACGTGCAGTTTTTGTTCTTGTGGCTCGAAGAGCTAACTGTGCTTGAGGCGCTGGCAGGCCGCTTGAGTTGGCAGCGATCTTTGGTTACTACAACAACGGCGTGCTGTAGAAGCCCTCGAACATCCTCCTGATATTAAAGCAACTTTAGGGTCGGGACGAGGGGGGCAGAGGGGCAGGGCGCATGAGGGCGCTTTCTCAGGCGGGCTCGTGGACACAGATCCCAGCCAGCTTCTCCCTGGCGTAACAACCTACGTACTAGTAGGGTTCAAGGTTGAGTGGGTGCGGTTTCGGGTAGGCTTGTCTTGAGCCATGCACACGAGCGCGCCGGAGGGAGGGAAGCGGGGGAGGGCGGGGGTGTGGAGGGGGGAGGAGAGGGGGGAGAACCCCAGCTGATGCTCATGCTTGATGCTGGCCGGGGCCTGCCAAGCACCCCCCACTGATGCCGATGATGCGCGGTGGGGGCCGCCAAGGGCTGATGCTCATGATGCGAGACGCTCATCATGATTGGCATAAGGCCCTTTTTTTCAGAAAACAGCGCCGGGCAAGCATGTGCGGAAAACTTGCGAAAAACAAACTGCAGTTACGGAAGTTTCACGTTCGTTTTGGAGCCACAAAACGGCCTAAATCCGTCAAGGGAGCGGAGACATGCTGGTGATGCTGGCTGTTTTGCGGATGAAGGGCGGAAGCGAGAAGCGAGCCGAAAAGGCCCCAGCTGATGCTCATGATGCGCGGGGGGCGGGCACTCTGTACTCTGTGGGTTCCTTGGGTCGGCGTCAGTGCTCACCCCAACTATCGCTTGGATGGGGATCATCCCCATCCTTTGGGATATGACCGGCCCATCAGGATCCTGTCACGGCCTCTGCTAGGCGAGCGGCCGAAAACGCCTAGCGAATCAGCGGCCGCTTGGCAAGATTGTTTGCAGATGTGAACGCAACAGAGTCCCAGAGGACAGGAGGGAAGGGGGTGTGGCAGAGCGGGGCAGGGGAAGCCGGGGAGGGAGGGAAGGGGTGGTGGAGCAGCTGATGCTCATGATGCTCGACGAGGCCTGCCAAGGACCCCCAGCTGATGCTCATGATGAGCACCTTCCCAGGGCCAAAGAAGCGTCCCGATATGCTCATAGTGGGTTTTCTTTTGGAAAACAGCGCCGACCTGGCAGGGGTCGGCGGATTTTGCAGGGGGGTTGGGGGGTGGGTGGGTGGGGGCTGGGGGGGTGGCGCAGCGCTTTGCAATCACCTTTCAAAGTTTTGTTGCTCTGGCCCTAAGGTCATCAGATTTCTCTAACGTAACAGGAGAAACGGGCCCAGCACAAAAGAATCACGAAACACCTTCAGCATGACAAAGCACACGGTGCAGCAGAACAGAAAACGGCGAAGGCCAACTAGGTCCACGGCTCGTATTCCGCCGTGGTACGGAAGACATACAAGTACAAAGGACCATGTTGAAGACATGCTTTCTGTGTGGGAATTCATAGTATTTTTGGTAGGGCGTCTAAACATGGGTGTTTTTCGATGGCTCCACATGCAGAAAGTGGGTTTTGAATTGGTTTTTACAGTACGGAAAGCTGTTTGCCAACCCCCCACAACTACTTCAGAAATGAACGAAAAACCACACTGAGCTGCAGTTATTCGACGTCGTCGTTGACACTCCTTTTTGCTCTCAGCGCTTGCGGCGCTGATTCAGAGAAGCTTTTCCAACTTCCGGGAATGCTTTGGGTGTGCACGTTCCCAACGAAGCATGCCTATTCCACATGAACATGTCCAACTTCCGGGAATGCTTTGGGTGTGCACGTTCCCAACGAAGCATGCCTATTCCACATGAACAGCTGCTGTTTCACAGCAGGTTTCAAGTCACTGTGCCCATTCTGGGGAGATCTTTGTGGAAATCTTTGGCGGCAGGAAGGTGTTCAAACTCTGCCACGTTCTGTCTAGCACTTGTGTGCCTACAACAGAAGACAGCACAACAGATCCCGGGTGCACACTCTTGCAAATGGTGAGTGGCCGAGTTGCTCCAGGACATGCTGCCTGCCAGTTGAGATTGCCGTCCGCGTACACTGCACTGCGATCTTTGTTGCTTATCTTCTGCAGAAGCTGGCTCTGGTCGATCTGCTGCCGTGTTTCCGTGACCGGTCGTGTGCCACATGGCCTCGTTCTTGAGCTTTCCAGTGTCGCGATTACCCCCCAACCCCCCCCCCCCCACCCGGAAAGCCTGCTACATAAGAAGAAGCGGGGCCGGCATGATGGAAAAAAGTCACTGTCCCGGCTCCGTGCAGGACATCGAGTCGGAGAGGTACATGGATGCAACCCCCGACAATGCGCACACCGTCGTGGATGCTCTGCTTCATTCTCGCAACCCAATCTTCTCAAACATAGATACCGTGTCGGAAGTCTGTGGAAGTCTGGTGGCCGGTGGGCTTTTGGCTGCTTGAGGGTTCCCGGTTTCGGAGGAAAGGAGTGCAAGGGCGCGAAAGGGTTTCGGAACCTCTACGGCTGCCAGACCCGCCAAAGTTGCGGGCGCAAGTGATCAGCCCGGCGCTGAAACATCTGAGGCAACTCTCTCGGAGTTGTTCGCCAACAAGAGCTTGGGCTGGATGTCATGCAGCTTGCTTGCAGCAGCACGGGCAAGGTAAAGACATAGTGAATCATGCAGGCTAGCGCCCCGCGAAAGGGGGGGGGGGGAGCGGGCGGGGCGGGGGGGGCGGGGGGGGGGGGGGGGGGGGCGGGGGGGGGAGGGGGGGGAGGGGTGGGGTGAGCCTCCCAAAAAGTCTCCGGAATCCCGTTTGGGGTTTAGATTGTTGTGACCGTTTATGGGAGGGTTCCCAGGGTTCGGCGCACGGTTTTCTCAAAAAGGGTAGGGTTTTCATTGGCTAGACATGCAGGTTTCGCGGAAATCAAGAACATGTCCGTGAAGCTCACGCCGGAGGAGGACCAGTACGATTTTCACGGTTACAGCATGAACAAGAAGCTTTGCTTGAAGGGAGTAGGAGCACACCCGTCTGGTAAACCACAGCAAAGCGACATGAAACACGACTTTTGAGTCCTAAGCTTCTTTCCTGCCATCCTGTTGGGGCTTCAATACTTGACCCTCAAACGAAGCAAGGCATTGGGTCCAGGGCCCAAACACCGTGTTCACGAGCATCATGTCGGCCATGCTCACGGGAGACCTCCGCGGGTATGATTCCTTCTTCCTCATGGAGATGGATGCGGTGCCCATCAAGGTGCGAAGCTTTCAAACGCAAGACAGAGCACGACCGACACGGGAAGCCGGCATAAGCCTAACCCAGACCGACAGTCAGGTCTCTCTGTACATGGATGCAGTGCCAAGAGCATGCGCGGGGTGTGGGCACAGCTCTTGTCACTGTTGTTCCAGATAACGGGTAGTGCTATGATCTGCTGTAATCGCAGACAGCGGCTGTGTAAGTGTCATGTGCGAAGGCGTAATTGGGAAAGCGCATTGCGCGACAACCTGAAGGCTTCCTTCTCATGCGGTCTCAGAAGTCTCCACTCCAAAACCCTAAACCGCGCAGCGTCGCGCAGCTTGCGTCAAGGCCGGATGGCTGGAGCAGTTCGAGAAAGAGGCTTTGGAGATGCCCACGCAGAACATGGCCATCCGTGGCAGCAAGTACTTGGGCCACAAGTGGGATGCTTTCAAGCACCTGATGCCGGCCCATGTGGTCGAGCACATCAACGGCAATGCCATTTACAACTTGAAGCCTAGCTATGCTCTTGCAGAATGTTGTTCTTCTGTACAAGGTATTGGGAGGTATCAGGTGGAGTTGACAATTGTCTCTGTGCTGGTAGAAGAGGGAAAAAAGTTGGCGGGTTCTCCTTGAAGGGCTGGTTGGATGCACGGGGTCCGTGACCCGAGCGGAGTTTGTTGAGTCTTGAGTCTTGACGGTTGTACTTCACTTTGGGTTCTGGTCGCAAGTTGTGTGTGTGTGTGTTTGCTCCGCACAGCATGGCAGTGGAAGAGATGTTTAATGATGTGTTTTTGGAGGCAAACTCAACAGAAGGAAACATCCGTGGCTCAAGTTCTTGCACGACACCTTCACCGGGGAAGGCAACGTTCGCATGACGGAGGGCATGGCCTTCGATGTGGCGTTCGCCATGATCACTCAGGCCCAGCTTTCAGCACTGCCTACAGTGAGCGTTCTATTTTGTCAGCCGGCAACACGTCGCGAAAGAAGATGCGGACTGTACAGGGGTAGGGTTGGGACTAGACATGTCTGCTCAGGCGGCCATGGACGGCACAGAGCAGGAGCTTGCTGCAGCTTTCTCCCAGAGCAAGGGCACCGATTCGACTTACTCCGGGGACTCGATGCTCATTGGCAACTATGCTGCTAGGTCGGCTACAGGTAGCTTTTGCCCTTGCAACAGTGGCCCGAAGTAGTTTAAACAAACGCGCTCCAAAGCCCTTTCGAAGATGATGCGTTGCCGTCGCAGGCCAACACGCTCTTGAATCACAGCTTCGATGTCCCTACCTACATTCGCCATGGCTCTGACAGAAATCTGTTCCACAGCCTCGCAGAAGACCAGGTCACTTTGGGAGTGGCGGTCTATGACCAAAGCACAGGTCACATCATGAACACCACTCGGAGCAACCACCCCTTCAAGAACATCCTGATGCTTCAGTACTTCCCCGGTAAGAAAGCCACGGAGAAGATTGCTTCCCCGAGCGGCGAGGTCATGGTGACCACGCAGCAGGCAACGCAGGAGCCCCACATGCATCTGTGTGAGGTCGCCAAGTTGGCGACGACGCCGTGGTTCGCTCTTACCGACAACTACCATGTCATCAATGCACCTGCGACTGGGTCTTACCAGTACCTGTCCGTTTTTCAGCCTCAATAGCTGGACGAGTGCTAGACGATGCTTGATACCGGTTCCCCTGTCGACCTGTAAGTAGTTGGAGGCGCATTAAAGTTGATATGAGTGGGTCTCAAGAGTCAAATATGTGGGAGCCGAAGGTCACAGTGCTCATGGACCACTCGGACCCGCAGATGCCTGTCCCCGTGATGCCATATGCCCATGGCTGCGAGCGAGCAGATTGCCAGGCCTCTCTAGATCAGGCCTCGGACCTCTTTGGCGTTCACTTGGAGTACCACCATGATCCGTATGAGCTGCTCTTCAGCACCAGGGACGCCAGGGACTTCTGCTCTTCCTGGCAGCAAGCAGCAGGCAGCAAGAGCTGGAAGTCCTGCGAGCTCGCGTATGGCCCGACGGCCGATGACTACATCGCCTGGAAGATCAGCACGAACGACAAGGCCAACCTGATTGCCACCCCCAAGAACAAGGCCCTGTATGGTTGGAGGGCATGGACGCAACGGAGGACGCCTGCCCCGATGGACATGCGACAGTGCCGGGTGCAAGTCTATGGACTCGTCGAGTACCACCATGCCCTCGGGAACATCACAACGTGCGGCCAATATATCGAGAATAAGGTCGCGTGCATCGTCGATAGAGATTGCACCTTGGGTCCTGTTTGGCAAGTTTGACGTAGCTAAGCGCAGCGTTGTAAGCCCACTCACACTCATGCACACGCTTCACGCGAGAGAGACACATGCAGAGAGACAACACACTCGACAGAGAGACCGCTCTGAAGGCATGTGGGTTCCGAAGTTCCAGTCGGGCGTGTGCACGAAGAAGCCTTGGAAGCCGTTCATTCGCAAACCGTGGCGCAAAGGGTACCGATCCAACAGCCTGGCGCAACAGCTCCAGCCCGAGGCCGAGAATGTGCACGAAGACCCCGTTCACTTCATGCAGCTCTCCAACAGCAGCAAGCAGGAACTTTAGAGGACTGAGAGAATCCGACCAAGTCGGAGGTAGCCGGCTCTCAGTTCTGTGCGCCATGCTTTCGCTCAAGCAGTGGGCCCCTATGATCACAATCGATCCCCGTCCTGGATGCCTGATATTACACGAATAACAGCCCCGAATAAATACTCCGTAAAGAGCCGGATTTCTGGGTTCTAGCTGTGTTCACGCACTCACTTATAATTAACGGCCCAGTAATGGAAGCGAGGAAGCACCGCCCCACAAGTGGTTGAACGAAGTGACCGAGGAAAAACGCCCAAGTTTCGAAAATCATCAGCCTGGAAAGTAGCAAACAACAGACTTGACATTGATCTGCTAAATGAGAGGAGAATCTCAGTGTCAGGTGTCGTGAGATTGATGCATGGTGTACGAAAGGAACACGGGCCAGAAACCGAACGAAGAAGTGACTGCCCGGAAGATACCATTCACCCTGTTACCCCCTTTTCGCCTCTAGAAACCGTACCATCATGAGCTACTGACAAGCGAGAGTGAAATGGCGCCTTCCTCCCTGGCCGTGCCATGCTCCGACGCCGTGCGATCCGGGTGCGCGCGCAAGCGGTCAGCTTCCGCGCAAATAAGCCTGAAGCATCCCGAGATGCTTGACCAAAACGCCCTTCTCAGGCAGCATTCCACACATTCTAGCCTGATCATCCAAAACAAAGCCTATTCTCACCCCCCCCCCCTCTTTTGCGGGGCCCCTGCACCGCCGTACCACATTGCACCAACGAGGAACGCTGCGAACAAACCAGCAAATCGCAGCAGTCTGTGTTGTTTGCAAATCCTAGTCGTTGATGTGGTTATGTGATGTTGTGTGAGGTTGAGCCTTTAACCCGCCTTATTCGATAGCGACAAGTTACGCACCCGCCAGGGGCCACTGCACTGGGCCATGGCCATGCAACTGGTTTTAAAGTCCGTTCTGATTACCGGAAGTGTCGTGCCGAACCTGGTACTCTGTGCAAAGCCATTCATTGGTGACCATCTTTCTGCCAGAGGCACACAATACGTTTTGAAACACTCCGTTGTTCTGCGCCGTCGGCAGAATGGATGCGCACGAGAGAGGCCTGACCTGCTGAGAATAGCGGACGCAGGGTCGACATCACCCATGTTCGTCATATTCTCCTGCCGCCTTCCCTTGTCGGTCCGACCGTCGGCAAAAGGGTCTGCGGTTTGCACAGTCCGAATGGCTCCTGGCACAGGGCACAGGGCCGCCTCGAGATCTGGCAAGTTGAGTGGTCTCACGGGAACTTTGACGACAGCAAGCATCCTGCATGGGCCGGAATCTCCGGGTGGCTCTCCTTTCTCAGCTGACCTCAGTGTCGGCTCCGCTCAAGAAGGGCCCGCACGTGGCTGTTTAATCTTGAATACTTGTTTAATTGCACACCTACGACATTGCATCCAAGTGGCTGAGAGAGAAAAGCTGTTAAAGTGTGTTTGCAGTTGCCGCCTGCCAGCATCAGAAACGGCACTCCCGCTTTGGCATGAAGCCCTGCTCGTCCTTCGGGAGCAGCATGGGGGGCGGGGGCGGGGGAGGGGGGGGGCCGAGCAAGAATGCAGTGATACGGCTTCATGCTGCAGGGTTGTCGGCCCGTGCTTCGGAGCAACCTCTGCGCTCTTTCTAACGAAGCCCAGCTCGATCTGAAGCTTCGCAAACCTGCAGAGTTTTGGCTTCCTGCTTTGTAAGCTGTCACATCTTTACCACTCCGGCGATGGGGCTGCACTGGCGCCTGGGCGTGCATCGCAGAAGACTGCCACAGTCTATAGGGCTCTGGCATTGGGCATGGCGATCGTGAGTGCTGCAGCGTAAGCTCACAGTCTAAATTCGATTGCGCACAGGCAGACCCAAAGCAAGCACCAACGAGTTTCTTTGATGATGTTGAATATCGGAAGGCTCATTCCCAGACCCCGGTTGTAATGCAAGAAGCCGCATGTCCAACTCCTATACTTCTCCTGGACAAGATGCTTAAAGCCGGCATGTGTCCTAGAATCCAGGCAAGCTGTCGTTGACCTCGGCTTTTGCCCCTCAAGTATCCAACTCCTATAAACTCGAACTCGTAAACTCCCCGCGCCCTTTTGCAAGGCGACTCTTCCTTGTTGGCTGGGCTTTCTACGTGGCCCAGGCGCCGTGGCTTACGGCCACAGCGTTTGCACAAGAGACAGCAAGAAGGTAAAGAGCAACACAGAACAGCATTCGAAGCTGGGGGGGAGGGGGGGGGGGGCAGCAGCAGCATTACCCACCACCACCACCACCACCGCTGCCGCCGCCACCGCCCGCAGCTGCGACGACGGCGACGGCGGCGGCGGCGGTGGCGGCGACGACGACGTTGACGACGACGTTGACGACGACGTTGACGACGACGTTGACGACGACGTTGACGACGACGTTGACGACGACGACGACGACGACGACGACGACGACGACGACGACGACGACGATCACGACCAGGATCACCACGACAACGCCAGCGCCAGCGACAACGACAACGACAAGCATCAACCACAACACCGAACAACCGCGGCCACAGCCACAAGCAACAGAGCAACAGAAACCCGTTACAAGCCCCCGTGCAAAGCCCTTCCATACCGACCTATCCTCAATATGAAGAATATACATACATTTATACATATGCCTACGTACATATGTGCATACATACCGTTCTATCACTATCCAAGCCCCTTGAACCCGGCCAAACCCACGCTTGCATAGGCAAAGCTGGCCGTCGTCCGGGTGTTCTCGACAGCCGACGAAGTGAATGCCTTGCTGCTGTCCACCACGACGCCATGCTCTGATTCATCTTTTGCACCCTTTCATTGTCGACTCTGGCCCAGTTGAAGCACGAACTGTTTCCCGAAGTCACTGGTAATGACACACGCCTCCAGAGACATGACAGGGGTTCTTTTTTGAATGGAGACCGAACAGGGACACCTTTCTCCGAACTTTCTAAACTTGAGAATTTTGCACCCGCCCGCAACCTGCAAGCCTGCATGCCAAGCCAAGACCCGCCAAAGAAGGACGTGGGAGAAGACCAAGCCGTGCGACCCTGCCAAGATCTCGCAGCCCATCGACTTGGTCCTCGTGTACAGCAAGGACTTTGCGTCAGCACGGGGGGAGGGATCATATGAGGCGCAGGGGTGCGCCGGCTGCGATTTGGCGTTGGCGGGGCCTGGTGCGTGTTGCCAGATCTGCCAGAAGGAAGTCCAAGACGTGCAGTTTTTTTTCTTGTGGCTCGAAGAGCTAACTGTGCTTGAGGCGCTGGCAGGCCGCTTGAGTTGGCAGCGATCTTTGGTTACTACAACAACGGCGTGCTGTAGAAGCCCTCGAACATCCTCCTGATATTAAAGCAACTTTAGGGTCGGGACGAGGGGGGCAGAGGGGCAGGGCGCATGAGGGCGCTTTCTCAGGCGGGCTCGTGGACACAGATCCCAGCCAGCTTCTCCCTGGCGTAACAACCTACTCGTACGTACTAGTAGGGTTCAAGGTTGAGTGGGTGCGGTTTCGGGTAGGCTTGTCTTGAGCCATGCACACGAGTGCGCCGGAGGGAGGGAAGCGGGGGAGGGGGGGGGTGGAGAGGGGGGAGGAGAGGGGGGAGAACCCCAGCTGATGCTCATGCTTGATGCTGGCCGGGGCCTGCCAAGCACCCCCCACTGATGCCGATGATGCGCGGTGGGGGCCGCCAAGGGCTGATGCTCATGATGCGAGACGCTCATCATGATTGGCATAAGGGACCTTTTTTTCAGAAAACAGCGCCGGGCAAGCATGTGCGGAAAACTTGCGAAAAACAAACTGCAGTTACGGAAGTTTCACGTTCGTTTTGGAGCCACAAAACGGCCTAAATCCGTCAAGGGAGCGGAGACATGCTGGTGATGCTGGCTGTTTTGCGCCCCTGATGCGCGAGGCCACCCTAGAAGGGCGGATGAAGGGCAGCTGATGCTCATGATGCGCGGGGGGCGGGCATACTCTGTGGGTTCTTTGGGTCGGCGTCAGTGCTCACCCCAACTATCGCTTGGGGATCATCCCCATCCTTTGGGATATGACCGGCCCGGGTGATCCTGTCACGGCCTCTGCTAGGCGAGCGGCCGAAAACGCCTAGCGAATCAGCGGCCGTTTGGCAAGATTGTTTGCAGATGTGAACGCAACAGAGTCCCAGAGGACAGGAGGGAAGGGGGTGTGGCAGAGCGGGGCAGGGGAAGCCGGGGAGGGAAGGGGTGGTGGAGCAGCTGATGCTCATGATGCTCGACGAGGCCTGCCAAGGACCCCCAGCTGATGCTCATGATGAGCACCTTCCCAGGGCCAAAGAAGCGTCCCGATATGCTCATAGTGGATTTTCTTTTGGAAAACAGCGCCGACCTGGCAGGGGTCGGCGGATTTTGAAGGGGGTTGGGGGGTGGGTGGGTGGGGGCTGGGGGGGTGGCGCAGCGCTTTGCAATCACCTCTCTAAGTTTTGTTGGGACTAAAGCCCCTTTGGCCCTAAGGTCATCAGATTTCTCTTGCGTAACAGGAGAAACGGGCCCAGCACAAAAGAATCACGAAACACCTTCAGCATGACAAAGCACACGGTGCAGCAGAACAGAAAACGGCGAAGGCCAACTAGGTCCACGGCTCGTATTCCGCCGTGGTACGGAAGACATACAAGTACAAAGGACCATGTTGAAGACATGCTTTCTGTGTGGGAATGAATTCATAGTATTTTTGGTAGGGCGTCTAAACATGGGTGTTTTTCGATGGCTCCCCATGCAGAAAGTGGTTTTGAATTGGTTTTTACAGTACGGAATGCTGTTTGCGAACCCCCCACAACTACTTCGGAAATGCACAAAAAACCACACTGAGCTGCAGTTATTCGACGTCGTCGTTGACACTCCTTTTTGCTCTCAGCGCTTGCGGCGCTGATTCAGAGAAGCTTTTCCAACTTCCGGGAATGCTTTGGGTGTGCACGTTCCCAACGAAGCATGCCTATTCCACATGAACATGTCCAACTTCCGGGAATGCTTTGGGTGTGCACGTTCCCAACGAAGCATGCCTATTCCACATGAACAGCTGCTGTTTCACAGCAGGTTTCAAGTCACTGTGCCCATTCTGGGGAGATCTTTGTGGAAATCTTTGGCGGCAGGAAGGTGTTCAAACTCTGCCACGTTCTGTCTAGCACTTGTGTGCCTACAACAGAAGACAGCACAACAGATCCCGGGTGCACACTCTTGCAAATGGTGAGTGGCCGAGTTGCTCCAGGACATGCTGCCTGCCAGTTGAGATTGCCGTCCGCGTACACTGCACTGCGATCTTTGTTGCTTATCTTCTGCAGAAGCTGGCTCTGGTCGATCTGCTGCCGTGTTTCCGTGACCGGTCGTGTGCCACATGGCCTCGTTCTTGAGCTTTCCAGTGTCGCGATTACCCCCCAACCCCCCCCCCCCCACCCGGAAAGCCTGCTACATAAGAAGAAGCGGGGCCGGCATGATGGAAAAAAGTCACTGTCCCGGCTCCGTGCAGGACATCGAGTCGGAGAGGTACATGGATGCAACCCCCGACAATGCGCACACCGTCGTGGATGCTCTGCTTCATTCTCGCAACCCAATCTTCTCAAACATAGATACCGTGTCGGAAGTCTGTGGAAGTCTGGTGGCCGGTGGGCTTTTGGCTGCTTGAGGGTTCCCGGTTTCGGAGGAAAGGAGTGCAAGGGCGCGAAAGGGTTTCGGAACCTCTACGGCTGCCAGACCCGCCAAAGTTGCGGGCGCAAGTGATCAGCCCGGCGCTGAAACATCTGAGGCAACTCTCTCGGAGTTGTTCGCCAACAAGAGCTTGGGCTGGATGTCATGCAGCTTGCTTGCAGCAGCACGGGCAAGGTAAAGACATGGGGAGTCATATGGAGTCATGCTGGCTTGCGGGCGGGGAGGGTGGGGTGACCTCCGTGAAAGTCTGCGGAATCCCGCTTCGGGGTTTAGATGATGGTGACCGTTTATAGGAGAGTACAGTACCGAGGGTTCGGTGCATACGCGGTGTTAGAAGAAGGGTCGGGTTTTCAATGGCTAGACATGCAGGTTTCGCGGAAATCAAGAACATGTCCGTGAAGCTCACGCCGGAGGAGGACCAGTACGATTTTCACGGCTACAGCATGAACAAGAAGCTTTGCTTGAGGGGGTAGGAGCACAGCAAAACGACATGAAACACGACTTGTGAGTCCTAAACTTCTTGCCGCCATCCACAGCAACCTTCCCCCTCAGCCCCCGAACGAAGCAAGGCATTGGGTCCAGGGCCCAAACACCGTCTTCACGAACATCATGTCGGCCATGCTCACGGGAGACCTCAGCGGGTATGATTCCTTCTTCCTCATGGAGATGGATGCGGTGCCCATCAAGGCGTGAAGCTTTCAATCGTAAGACAGCACGACCGACCCAGTAAGCCAGTATAAGCCTTATAACCCAAACCTACCCTCAGGTCTCTCTGTTCTCGGATGTATAATGCCAAGAGCATGGGGTGTGGGCACAGCTCTTGTCACTGTTGCTCCAGCATAGCGGGTATAGTGCTATGAGCTGCTGTAATCGCAGGCAGCGGCTGCTTAAGTGGCATGTGCGAAGGCGTAATCGGGAAAACGCATTGCAGACAAACTGAAGGCTTCCATCTCATGCCGTCTTAGAGGTCTCCACTCCAAAAACCCTAAACAGCGCAGCGCCGCGCGGCTTGCGTCAAGGCCGGATGGCTGGAGCAGTTCGAGAAAGAGGCTTTGGAGATGCCCACGCAGAACATGGCCATCCGCGGCAGCAAGTACTTGGGCCACAAGTGGGATGCTTTCAAGCACCTGATGCCGGCCCATGTGGTCGAGCACATCAACGGCAATGCCATTTACAACTTGAAGCCTTGCTATGCTCTTGAACAATGTTGTTCTCTGTTGAAGGTTCAGGGAGGAATTGGGCAGAGTTGTTTATTGTCTTGATCTGTGCTGGCAGGAGACGGATACTTGGCAGGTTCTGGGCAGGTTCACCTTGAAGGGCTGGTTGGATGCACGGGGTCTGTGACCTGAGCGGAGCTTGTTGAGTCTTGACAGTTGTGAGTCTTGACGGTTGTGCTTCAGTGCATTTGGGTTCGTTGTCGCCCTCTCTTTCTCTCAACAGAAGGAAACATCCGTGGCTCAAGTTTTTGCACGACACCTTCACCGGGGAAGGCAACGTTCGCATGACGGAGGGCATGGCCTTCGATGTGGCCTTCGCCATGATCACTCAGGCCCAGCTTTCAGCACTGCCTACAGTGAGCGTTCCATCCTTGTCAGCCGAAATATGTCGCGAAAGAAGATGCGGACGGTGCAGGGGTAGGGGTTGGACTAGACGTTTCTGCTCAGGCGGCCATGGACGGCACCGAGAACGAGCTTGCTGCAGCTTTCTGCCAGAGCAAGGGCACCGATTCGACTTACTCTGGGAACTCGATGCTCATTGGCAACTATGCTGCTAGGTCGGCTACAGGTAGCTTTTCCCCTTGTGACAGTGGCGCGAACTAGTTTAAACAAACGCGCTCCAAATCCCTTGCGGAGATGCTACGTTGCCGTCGCAGGCCAACACGCTCTTGAATCACAGCTTCGATGTCCCGACCTACATTCGCCATGGCTCTGACAGAAATCTGTTCCACAGCCTTGCAGACGACCAGGTCACTTTGGGAGTGGCGGTGTACGACCAAAGCACAGGTCACATGATGAACACCACTCGTAGCAACCACCCCTTCAAGAACATCCTGATGCTTCAGTACTTCCCCGGTAAGAAGACAGTGGAGAAGATTGCCTCCCCGAGCGGCGAGGTCATGGTGACCACGCAGCAGGCAACGCAGGAGCCCCACATGCATCTGTGCGAGGTCGCCAAGTTGGCGACGACGCCGTGGTTCGCTCTTACTGACAATTACCATGTCATCAATGCACCTGCGACTAGGTCTTTCCATTGCCTCTCCGATTTCAGGATTTGTTCAGGTTCATAGCTGGGTAATGTTGGATATGGGTTGCCCTGTCGACCTGTAAGTAGTTGGAGTCGCATTAAAATTGATATGAGTGGCTCTCAAGAGTCACATGTATGGGAGCCGAAGGTCACCGTGCTCATGGACCACTCCGACCCGCAGATGCCTGTCCCCGTGATGCCCTATGCCCATGGCTGCGAGCGAGCAGATTGCCAGGCCTCTCTAGATCAAGCCTCGGACCTCTTCGGCGTTCACTTGGAGTACCACCACGATCCGTATGAGCTGCTCTTCAGCACAAGGGACGCTAGGGACTTCTGCTCCTCCTGGCAGCAAGCGGCAGGCAGCAAGAGCTGGAAGTCCTGCGAGCTCGCGTATGGCCCGACGGCCGATGACTACATCGCCTGGAAGATCAGCACGAACAAGACCAACCTGATTGCCACGCCCAAGAACAAGGCCCTGTATGGTTGGAGGGCATGGACGCAACGGAGGACGCCTGCTCCCATGGACATGCGACAGTGCCGGG